GTGTAGCCCTGTTCGTAATGGTCCTCACTTTCAAACTGATTCAGTTTGACAATGCAGCTCTTAATTTCCACCTTAGGATTATTCAGTTGGAAGGGTTCAATTTTTGACTGATCCACCACATCGATTTTTAAACACGACTCTTGTTTAGGTGGAGCTCTCATTGATTCAAGGACATTAAATGCTATTTCTTCATCTTGCATCCTCATGATCAATTTCCCTTCTTGAACATCGATTAAAGCTCTTCCGGTGGCTAGGAATGGTTGTCCCAAGATAAGAGGAATCTCTTTGTCTTCTTCCATATCCAACACAAAGAAGTCCACAGGAAAAATAAACTTGTCCACCTTAATCAACACATCCTCCACAATGCCCCTCAGATGCTTTATTGATCGATCTGCAAGTTGCAAGCATATGGTTGTCGGTTTAACTTCACTAATTCCTAGTTTCTTGAAAACAGAAAAAGGCATAAGATTAATGCTAGCACCTAGGTCACATAAAACTCGATTAAAGGTGATATCTCCTATAGTGCATGGGATAGTAAAACTCTCTGGATCTTTGAGTTTCGGGGGTAGCTTCTTCTGGAGAATGGCGCTGCACTCTTCCATAAGCATCACCGTTTCCTCATCTTCTAGCTTCCTCTTGTTCGATAAAATTTCTTTAAGAAATTTCGCGTAGCTCGGCATCTGTTGCAATGCATCTACAAAAGGAATGTTAATATGCAGTTTTTTAAAAACATCAAGAAATTTAATAAACTGCTTATCCTGATTTTCTTTTCTGAGTCTTTGAGGAAAAGGTACGGGTGGTGTGTGATGCGCCAACTCTGGTGGAATCTCGGGGAATGGCAATTTCTCTTTCCTTTTCTTTTTCTCCTCTTCTTGCTTCTGCTTAACTTTCCTTAGACTGGGTGGTTTCTCTTCAGCTTCAATTTCTTCATCAACTTCCTCATCAGATTCTTTATTTTTCTTTGATGAGGTTTCCTCTTTCCTTGAATTTCTCACCTCTTCTAAAACTCTTCCACTTCTCAATGAAATTGCATTAACTTGCTCACGTGGGTTAGTTACTGTATTGCTTGGTAAGGAACCCTGCGGTCTCTCATTAAGCTTCTCGGCCTGTTGGCCCATCTGTACCTCAAGATTCCGAATGGACACCCCTTGATTTCTAAAATTCGTCCTCGTCTCATTCATGAATCCCGTGGTCTCCTGCATAAATTTCCCAAACATATCTTCCAACTTCGTCACTCTTGGATCTCCTAGTTGATTATTCACCCCTGGTTGGTTATTTGGAACTGTCCTCTGGTTCCATTGGTTATTTTGTTGGTTCTGATTTCCCCAAGCCAGATTTGGATGATTTCTCCACCTCGGGTTGTATGTGTTGGAGTATGGGTTGTTTGGTTGTCTCTAATTTCCTGCCAAGTAGTTCACTTGCTCTGTTGATGAAGATGATGAAGCAAGGGTGTTCCCAACTTGACACTCGTTGCTCACATGGTTTCCTGCACAAAAATCACACGTTCGTTGAGGTGCTTGAATAGAGTTTACCTGCATAGTTCCCAACTGTTTTTGAAGTGCCATGAGTTGGTCTAAGATGGCTGTGAAGGCATCAACTTCATGAAGAACCGAAGATTTCCTTGGTGTTGCTCTCTTATTTGGTCTTTGATAGTTGTTGCTTGCCAAAACCTCAAGCAACTCATAGGCCTCTTCTGGTGTCTTTTTTTGCAAGGCCCCTCCTGAAGCTGCATCCACCATGGTTTGCACATTAACCATCAATCCATTGTAGAATGTTTGGACTTGAAGCCAAACTGGCAAGCCATGGTGTGGGCATTTCCTCATTAACTCCTTGTATCTCTCCCAAGCCTTATACAATGACTCGGACTCATCTTGTAGAAATGATGTGACATCATTTCTCAATTTTGCTGATTTAGCTGGAGGGAAGAACTTAGTAAGGAATTTCAGTGCTAGATCATTCCAAGTTGTGATAGTTCCCGGTGGTAGTGCCATTAACCACCCCTTTGCTTTATCCCCCAATGAGAATGGGAATAACCTCAACCTAATGGCGTCATCCGACACTCCGTTCGACTTGAAGGTGTCACAAATTTCCAAGAAATTTGCAATATGCTGATTTGGATCTTCCTTCAAATCACCATTAAATCTAACTGACTGTTGGATCATCTGGATGATTGCCGGCTTGATCTCGAAGTTGTTAGCTTGCACCGTAGGTCTAGTAATACTCGACCCACTACCATTCACTGTGGGAACTGAAAATTCCCTCAGTGTCCTATTTTCTGGTTCTGCCATTTCAACAACTATTTCTTCTGCTTCTACAACTAAATCCTCTCTTGCTCTTCTCTCTCTGTTACGTCGTCTGACGGTTCTCTCAATCTCAGGATCAATAGGATCCACTGATTGATGTCTTGCTCTTCGCATAAACTGCAAAAACAGAAATGAAGGAAAGTGAGATCACAAATCAATTGAAAATTAAAAACGAAAAAAAAAAAAAAAAACAAATAATGATAAAAAGAAAACAAAAACAAAAACAAAAACAAATAAAAACTCCAATCTAGCTAACTATAGAAAGACTCAATGTTAACTTAAAACAGTCCTCGGCAACAACGCCAAAAACTTGATGCGTGTTTCATACAACATGCAATATGTAGCAAGTATACTAATCGCTCAAGTAATAAAGTGATGAGTGAGTATCGTTCCCACGAGGACTGCTAGCTAAGCACTAAAAATCCTACTGTTCTCAAGTTGGAGCAATCGAGTTCTTTGGATTGATGGGAACTATTTCTAATTAAAACTGAACAATAAATTTTAAACTAAAATTAACTATGAATGCAAGATGAAAAACACGGATAGTAATCAATTCAAGCAAAACGGGTAGGGTTTTGACTTCATTCGGATTTTATGGGTTAAACCTAGAAATTAAACTACATTCACATTCATATGCATAGGTTGTAAATCGAACTCACTAAGGTGTTAAACATACCTTCTCAGGCTATGTTTTCCTATTCTTCCTTATTAACTTTCCGCACCCAACAATTTGAACGTTAACAATTCCAAACTCATTAAGCATAAGAATCCTACCATGATTTCATTAATTCTTGAATCTATCTCTAGCATCCAATACTATAATGGGGATTACCCAAGAAGCCTAACATGACTCATTTCTCAATCTCATCATGTTCATCACATAAAGCATTAAAACTCAGAGCAAACACACAATCAAAGCATAGTCATATGAACATAACACAATCAATAACTTAACCCATTAAAAATCCGAATTACAATCAAAACCCTAACCCAAAATGGGTTAGTTCATAGCTAAATTAACACTACACAAACGAAAAACAATAATAATCAAGTTCAACATAATGAAAAGTAAGAGAAAGGACAAGAAATCTCCCCAAATGATGAATCCCTTGGTTCAAAATCGAATCTTAACCCTTCTAATAGCTAAATCTCTCCAAGCTTAATCAAAGAAAATGCAAAAGCTGCTACAAACCCTATTCGAACCCCCTACCAAAAAGGCTAAGTGTTTCTTTTATACCTCGCCCCAAATTTCTCAGAAAAACACGCACAAAGTAAAATTGTGCGTTTTACAAAACTGGAAATTACGACTGTCGCCGTAGCGAAGAAAGAAGCAGACTTGTTCGTGTCTGGTGTACTTCGCTGCGGCGAAGCACAAGTCTTCGCCGCGGCGAAGCTTCTGGAAAAATTCTGAAATTACAGAACTGCCACTCTGCTTGCATCTTCGCTTGATTCTTCGATCCTCGGTGCTCTCCCTTGGAAGCAAGCTTCATAGTGCTTTATTCTGCTTCAGAACTCTCCCAACTTCTGAGATCCGCCTATTTTTTAGTTTAGAATTTTCAATTTTGTCCTTATTTGCTCAAAATGTCCATTTTAACCTGAAACACGAAATGTAAAGAATTAAGCAACAATTTAGGTTAAAATGAACTAAAAAGTACCTGAAATCAGACTAAAAAGTCTAATTAAAACGGTATAGTCCACGGATTATCAGTTTTTGACTAGCAAGTCCAAACAGTCCTACTGGTTGTCGATGGTCACCATGAATTTTGTGCCTTGTACTACAACCAAAAATTACATCTTTCACTATGGTTGTGCCCTCGTCTGATGTCTCAAATGTGAATTGCTTAGTGGCAAATGTTCCATTTGAGTTGGTATCATCTACATATGAAATTTGGTACATGCACTTATTTTTATAGTACAAATATTACAGACATCGTAATGACAAGGATAATCAACGTATGTGGAAGAATGGGAAGGATCGTAAGACTGTAGGACTCAAGACTGATCGAATTAGAGTAAATCAGATTCTTAAGTTTCTAATTCAACAAGAACACAAAAAATCATATATGAGTAATCAAAAGAGCATAAAAGAAAACTGATAAAGTAACACACATCAGTATAGTGGTTCAGTAATCAATTGATTACCTACATCCACTCTTTATGGCAGTAGCGATTATTACCCATGCAATAAGAAATTTTTAAACCAAATCTATGAAGAAGAATCAAGGCACGTTTTCGACAACCAAGTCCAAAAATTCCATTGAGTACTTGAGTATCTTCCTCTCCATATATAACCTGTTGATCACGAGCACCTCCGACGACTCCATCCATAATCAGACATTTATTTAAATGGATTTCTGAGCACTTTACCTGAGTTTTTGACTTCTTTTTATTTTTAGTATTTGTCAGTTTTATACATGGTAAAGCAATGGAAACAGCTGCAGTTAACGGTCATGAAAACGGTTGTTTGGAGAGTTTGTGCACGGCTTCTAATGATCCCTTGAACTGGGGACTAGTGGCTGAAGGTCTAAAAGGAAGTCACTTAGATGAAGTGAAGCGTATGTTCGCAGAGTACAGGAAGCCGGTGGTGAGACTTTGACGATGGCCCAGGTTGCTACCATTGCAACCGATGAGTATGGTGTCAAAGTTGAGCTTTCGGAGTCTGCCAGAGATGGTGTTAAGGCTAGCAGCGACTAGGTCATGGAGAGCATGAATAATGGAACCGATAGTTATGGTGTCACCACTGGTTTCGGCGCAACTTCCCATAGAAGAACCAAGAACGGTGGTGCTCTTCAGAGGGAGCTCATTAGATTCTTGAATTTTGGAATCTTTGGTAATGGAACAGAATCGTGCCACACACTGCCTTACTCCGCAACAAGAGCAGCCATGCTTGTGAGGATTAACACTTGTCTCAAGGGCTACTCTGGAATCAGGTTTGAAATCTTGGAAGCAATTTCGAGTCTTCTCAATAACAACATTACTCCATGCCTCCCACTTCGCGACACAATCACTACCTCTGGTGATCTTGTTCCACTGTGTTGGTGTTTAGTGCCGGTGAATACTAAGGAAAAGGTGAGATGAATTTTAGGTTAAGAGAAAAGTCTACTTTCATTACAATGCATATTACAATTTATATATCCAAAAACTTACTGTTACACCAACTAAAAACAGACAATTCAGATTTGAAATTTAAAACTAAGATTTACAACAAATAAATCCATTGCACCTAAACATGCCACCAAAAAACAACTACCATAGTAGTTCCATTCACATCAGACAGAGAAGACAGCAACAGTTCTTTGGTGCCAAAAACTAATTAAAAAACAAACTGAATTTCCAACCAAATTTCTAGCAAATTATCACTGTTTCAACACTCCTCCTTGATAATTTTGCTGGAAACACCAAGTTTGAGTCTAAAGTCTTCAAACTTGGTTTTGGATAATCCTTTAGTCAAGATGTCAGCCACTTGATCATCACCACTGTAGTGAACTAGTTTAACTTCCCCTTCTTGCTCAGCTTCTCTCACTGCATGGAACTTGATCTTTATGTGTTTAGTCCTTCCATGATGGACTGGATTTTTAAGTCTTCCAGAATTTCTCTCAACCAAACAGCTTGGTTCACAACAGCTGCAGCCGAAATGTATTCTGCTTTTGCTGTGGATTGTGCCACAGTTTCCTATTTTTTTGAAAGCCAACAGATTGCACCATAATTCAGGAAGAAAGCATACCCTGAAGTGCTCTTCATGTCTTCCATAGAACCACCCAAATCACTGTTAGAAAATCCCCTTAATCCAAAGTTTTCTGACCTCCTAAACCACACTCCAAAGTTGGTGCTCCCTTTTACATATCTTAGCACTCTTTTTGCAGCTTTGAAGTGTGTTTCCTTGGGCTGATTCATAGACCTAGACAACAACCTCGTAGCAAGCATGATATCAGGTCTGGTTGCTATTAGATACAACAAGCAGCCAACCAAGCTCCTATACTGCCCTTCATCAACATTTTCTGCATCATCATCCTTTGACAGCTTTTGATTAGGAACCAGTGGAATGTCCATTGATTTGCAATTCTCCATATTGAATTTCCTTAGAACTTCAATTGCACACTTCTCTTGATTAATAAAAATTCCAGCTGAGTTTTGATAAACCTACATCCCGAGAAAGTACGCCATTTCACCTAAATTTGTCATCTCAAACTTATCAAGCATGGATTTCTTGAATTCCTCCAACTAAGTTGGTTTGCTCCCTGTCACAAGTAGATCATCAACATACAAGGAGATAATCATCACATCTTCATCAATCTCTCAAACATACAATGTGTGCTCATTTGGACTTCTCACAAAACCCAAACTCAATAGGTGATCATTGATCCTGCTATACTAGGCCCTTGGTGCCTGTTTCAGGCCATACAAGGTCTTCTTTAGGAGATAAACTTTATCTTCTTTTCCTATGATCTTGTACCCTTCCGACTATTCAACATATATCTCCTCATTCAACCATCCATTGAGGAAGGCTGAAAATTTTCCATGCAAACTGTGCTGCCACTGCAAGTAACAACCTGATTGTATCATGCCTTGAAACTGGTGCAAAGGTATCCAGGAAGTCAACTCCATACTATTGAGCAAAACCTTTGACAACCAGCCTAAGAATTGAGCCATCCGAGTTGAGCTTTTTCTTGAAAATCCATTTAACTTGGATTACTTTTTTGTTCTAAGGTCTGTCTATCAGGTTCCAAGTTTGGTTATTCTCAATCATTACCAGCTCCTCCTTCATGGCAACTCTCCAAACCTCTGATTTTGCTACTTCAAAATAACATGTTGGCTCAAGTGAAGCCATGTCACATCTCTCATAAACCTCAGCTAAAGGTCTGGTACCTCTAACCGAGAGTTCTTCTTTAGCATCACTCTCATCATCCTCAATAATCTGATCACCTGCAGCTTCTGTCCATTTTGGTTTTGTCTCCACATCAGCTCTATTTTCTTCCCGATTCCAAACTCCATCCTCATCTATTTTGACATCCCTGGAAATATGATTTTTTTTGGTTTCTGGAACATACGCCTTATAGGCTTTGGATTGACTACTATAACTAATAAAAATGCTAATTAAGGCCTTCTCGTCCAGCTTGGATCTTTTTGCTACTGGAACCAAAATGTAACATATGCTTCCAAATACTTTGAGCCTATCTACTACTGGTTTAACTCCATACTAGGCTTCATAAGGTGTTTTCCTGTCTAAGGCTTTTGTGGGAAGCGTATTGAGCAGGAACATTACTGTGTTGATAGCTTCTGCGCAAAAATTCTTTGGCAACCTTTTCTCTGCCACCATACACCTTGCCATCTCTACAACTGATTTGTTCTTCCTCTCACTGACTCCATTTTTCTGTGGAGTGTAGGGGCTGCTGTATTGATTCCTAATTCCAGCTTCCTTGCATACTAGTTCAAACTCTTGAGAAGTATATTATGCACCATTGTCAATTCTCAACATTTTTATAGTTTTTCCAGTTTGGTTTTCCACCAGCTGCTTAAACTGCTTAAATACACCAACAACTTCTCCTTTTTGCTTCAAACAATACACTCAACATATCCTGGACTAGTCATCTATAAACAATACAAAATACCTACTTCCACTCAATGACAAGGTTTCCATAGGACCACACACGTTTGTATGAATGAGCTGGAGTTTTTCAGCTGCTCTCCAGGCTTGGTTTACAGGGAAGGACTGCCTACTCAACTTGCCAAGTTGACAAGCTGGACATACTGTTTTACTCTCCTCTATTTCGGGCAGATTTTGGACCAATTTCTTGGCCTGAATTTCCTTGAGACCTTGATAATTGAGACCTTGATAATGAAAGTAACCAAGTCTCTTATGCCATTTCTCAAATTCATCTACCCTTACATTACAAGCTCTATTTTTAGTTCTTTTCAACTTAATGGGGAAGCTTTTCCCCACCATTTTAACTTTCATCAGCTCACACCCCTTACTGTCCAAAATTTGACAGATTTGATTCTCAAAATGCAAGAAATAATTGTTTTCCAACATTTGTCCCACACTTAAAAGACTTTGACTAATTTCGGGTGCATATAGTACATTGGAAATGAGTTTTGTACCTGTAGAGGTCTAGACTGCAACATCTCCATTTCCTTTTGCTTCAACATAGTCACCATTTGCAATCTTGATTCTGGACTGATGTGCTGGATTTAATTTGACAAAATCTCGCAAGTGTGGTGTCATATGGTTTGTACATCCACTGTCAACCAGCTAGCCTTCATAGCTTGTTGGTGTTGCACTGTAGAGGCTACAAACAGATGTTCTGTCCATTGTTTAGATTGCTAATCATCAGTCACATGTGCTTGCTGTTGGGACTGCTCTCCTTTATTCTTGCAAACCCTTTCCATATGGCCAAACTGTTTGCAGGCCCTGCACTGTATCCCTGGCCTAAACAACATCTTTCTTAGAATGCCTTTTCCTTTTATAGTGAGAGCAAGGTGGATATTCTTTCATCCCACCTGGTTTTCCCCACTGACCATTGCTCATTTCTTTCCCCATCTTATCACCGGCATATCTCCTATTTTTCCCTTGAACTATTTACTTTTGTGAGTTTGTGGCAGCCTCGGATTCCGCACACAGCCTCGACGACCCCACTCACTCAGTACTGTCCCCCCTTAAGGGATTTCTTTTCACCTCCCACACCACTCGAAACCGGGACCAAGGGGCTATAGTCCAACCGGGAGCATGGTGTGTACCATCAAGCCAGCTGGCCTGATGGTACACACCATGCTCCCGGTTGGACTATAGCCCCTTGGTCCCGGTTTCGAGTGGTGTGGGAGGCGAAAAGAAATCCCTTAAGGGGGGGGGGGGACAGTACTGAGTGAGTGGGGTCGCCGGGGCTGTGTGCCGAATCCGGGGCTGCCATAATAAAAAGGCGCCTTTTTATTTAACGGACCGCCTGGCTCTGATACCCTGCTGGCTCGGCCCAGGAACTACCTTCTGGGCAGGTACTGTCCCCCCCTTAAGGGATTTCTTCGCCTCCCCCACCACTCGAACCCAAGACCAAGGGGCTATAGTCCAACCGGGAGCATGGTGTGTACCATCAGGCCAGCTGGCCTGATGGTACACACCATGCTCCCGGTTGGACTATAGCCCCTTGGTCCCGGTTTCGAGTGGTGTGGGAGGCGAAAAGAAATCCCTTAAGGGGGGGACAGTACTGAGTGAGTGGGGTCGCCGGGGCTGTGTGCCGAATCCGGGGCTGCCATAATAAAAAGGCGCCTTTTTATTTAACGGACCGCCTGGCTCTGATACCCTGCTGGCTCGGCCCAGGAACTACCTTCTGGGCAGGTACTGTCCCCCCCTTAAGGGATTTCTTCGCCTCCCCCACCACTCGAACCCAAGACCAAGGGGCTATAGTCAATTGGGGAGCATGGTGAGTACCATCAGGCCAGCTGGCCTGATGGTACACACCATGCTCCTGGTTGGACTATAGCCCCTTGGTCCCGGTTTCGAGTGGTGTGGGAGGCGAAAAGAAATCCCTTAAGGGGGGGACAGTACTGAGTGAGTGGGGTCGCCGGGGCTGTGTGCCGAATCCGGGGCTACCATAGAGTTGCCATCATTGCACCCTTACCTACATCTTCTTACCTTAAGAGCCTTCTTTGCTCTTGTGCTTACAGTGCATGAACCAGCTCTGTAAGAGTAACCTGCCCCATATCCCTTGAGTCCTCAAGAGAGAAGATTTTGGACTCAAATGTTCAAGCAAGCTTACCAAGACTTTCTCCACCACTCTCCTGTCTATTAACTCCACTCCCAACTATTAGTGTATATTAGTGTATGCCCTAGAAACCATTCGTGTTGTCGGTTTCAGAGCATTTTGTCTTGTGTCTATATTTTATAAATAATAAAAGAAAGAGTTCTTCAATTCATATATATAAATTGCTTCCTTTATTCAGTCATG